CGAGCCCACACTTAGGGTTTTAAGATGCTTATATCTCAGGCTTCTGGACTTGGGGGTGCTTCTCCAGGCCTGAATAAAACACCTCCCAAGATCCAGCACTCACCTATCAAAGGCCTTCACCCGGCCCAGGAGTTTCTTGTTATTGCGGCAATTAATAAGCACTTGGGTGTTGTTCTTGACTGACTGTGTGAGCACAGAGAGTGGACCAGTGTTAAATTCTTCTTCCTCCCGCTTCTGTAGCTCCTCTGGGGTCATCTCACTCTTGGGCTTGTTGAGGAGGCTCCTGAATGGGCAAGTATGAAACCTTAGGTGAGAGGGGCTGAAGCTGGGAGCATGGGTGGTCAGTGTCTCCCCCATCTTGCTGAACACACCCATTCAGTCTCCTCTTTTAACATCACCACCTGGATGCCTAATAAACATTTTCTTTTTTTTTTTTTTGGTAGAGACAGTTTCACTTATTGCCCTCGGTAGAGTGTGGCAGCGTCACACAGCTCACAGCAACCTTTAAGTCCTGGGCTCAGGCAATTCTCTTGCCTCAGCCTCCCAAGTAGCTGGGACCACAGGCGCCTGCCAGAACGCCTGGCTATTTTTCTGCTGCAGTTTGGCAGGGACTGGGTTTGAACCCACCACCCTCAGTATATGGGGCCAGTGCCCTACCCATTGAGCCACAGGCGCCACCCCATAAACATTTTCAATATTGTATGTCCCAGGTTGAGCTCCAGATTGCCCAATCTACTCTATTCAATTTCTCCCATTTCCACTGATAGTTCTCTAGGCAAAAACTCTGCTGTCAAACTTGACTCCTCTCTCTTTCATCCTATATCAGATCTGTTAGCAAATGACCATTTTTTCTTAATTTTTTTCTTTCTTTTTTTGAGATAGTGTCTCACTCTGTTGTCCCAGGCTAGAGCACTGTGGCATCAGCCTAGCTCACAGCAAGCTCAAGCTCCTGGGTTCAAGCAATCCTCCTGCCTCAGGTTCCCAGAGTGCTAGGATTACAGGCATGAGCCACTGCGCCCAGCAGCAAAGCACTATTTCTTACCATGGCCTAAGCCTCCATCATCTCTCCCTTATTGGTCTCCCTGCCTTCACCTATGCTCCCTGACAATCTCTTCTTCACAGAGCAGTCTGAGGAGCTGTGCTAAAACCTAAATCATATCATGTCACTCTCCAAAACCCTTCCATGATTCCCATCTCAGTGTAAAAAGTCCAACCCAAAGTTTTTGCAATGTCCTGCATCTGCCCTCTTGCTCACTCCCTTTCAGCCATAGTGGTATCCTGGGTGGTCCTTGAAGACTGGAGGCAAACTTTAGAGCAGTGGTTCTCAACCTGTGGGTCGCGACCCACAGGAACTGTATTAAAGGGTTGCAGCATTAGGAAGATTGAAAACCACTGCTTTAGAGCCTCTGCATTTGCTTTTCCTTTTGCTTGGAACTGTGGGGTAACTGCATGGTTCACTTTCTTCAGATCTTTCCTCAAGTGATACCTTTCCCATGTGTCCTTCTGTGCTAGTTATTAAGTTATTGGGATCTCCCACGGTTTTGATCCTGCTCAACTGTTTCTTGATTCACAGCCCTGGTCACCGAACACACCATACAATTTATTTGATCATTATGTCATTTACTGCCATTCCCCCCCACAAGCTGTAGCAAGAGACTTTTTTACTGGGGGCGGGTAGGTCTCATTCACTGCTGGGATTCTGTGTGTCTAAAGCAGTGCATGATACATGAACAATCAATGTAATATATGCTGAAGGAATAAATATGCAAAATCTTGCCAGTGACTCGTCATCCGTAAAAGTAGTGAATTAGGTCGAAAAGTCACCCGTCTTTAGATCAAATTATCTCGATAAATCTCTTACCTCATTATTTCTAAAAGGCTGCAATCCCCCGCCCCCAGGCTCTTTATTCGTAAAATTGCTTCCCCATAACATTCATTTCAGCAGGATCAATTATGCGGGAAAATCCCCAGTCGGTTATCTGGTAAAGCTGTCCAGTCTCCCGAACTCGGACGATCAGTCAAAGGGCCCATACTCATCAAGAGAAAAGTGTAACACTTTAACCCTAAATTCTCCGCCTCTAGCCCCAGCTCTGCTCACCCCCTTCCACTGTGAATCGTCGAAATTTACACCCTCAACCTCATTCCCACCACCTAAGCCCAACCCGGTCTCACATGGTGGTGGCTGTGCTCTCAAATCACTTCCTTCTCCGCGTTGCTTCTGTCTCTGAGGAAAGAGAGAGCGAAATAGGTGGGACTTCCGCTTCCTAAGGCCCACTTCCGTGGACGCCTGCGCAAACCCAACCAGCGAGTGGAGGCGTGGCCTGTTGCCATAGTGATCCCCGCCCCCGCCCCCTCTCCGCTCAATGATGGGATAAAAGCCCGGAGTAGTGGTTCTAGGCTATTCAGGACTATACGAGACAACTGTTAACGACAATAGAGAGAAAAAGAGAGGGGGGTTGATTCAAACCATTTCGTTGTAGAACATTATAGGTTAAAGGAGGGAAATGGCACGCTATTTCCAAATGCCCGCCGGCCCTATCTTTGGGGGCGCGGCCTCCGTAAAGCCAATCCGCTCCTCGGTTCAGGGATAGGCACCGCCCCTTTTCCACCCCAGGGACATTTCTTGACGTGTCTATTGATCTTTCCGACCGTGGGCTACCAATCCTTTGCTTACATCCGGGAGGGGCATGGACCTGCGCCACAGAGGATGAATGTTTTCGAAGATCAAACGCTGCTCATTGGCTTTCCCTCCTCTGCTAAGGCGGAGTCTACCTTTCTTGAGCTTCCTTTTGGGTTTGTGCAATCCTTCGGGGAACAACCCTAAAACCCAAAGGAGGTTGGGAGGCGTGTCCTCAAGACAGCAGTTCCCATTGGTTTCACTGTCTGCTGAGGGGTGGCACGGTGAAGTCGCTCTTGTTCCTTATTGGTCTATTGATTCCATGGGGTGGAACTTGGCTGGGCCTAAGCTCAATCCGCGGTCTCGGACCGGTTTCAGGGCAAAGCTGCCATGCGTTCCGGGGGCCGCGGGCGGCCCCGGCTGCGGCCCGGGGAACATGGCCTCACGGAGGCGCCCTCACCACCCAGGCGTCGCCTGCTACCGCGGGTCCCCCTCTTGCCCCTGTTGTTGCTGGCGCTGGCCGTGGGCTCAGCGTTTTACACTATCTGGAGCGGCTGGCACCGCAGGACTGAGGAGCTCCGGCTGGGCAGGGAGCTGCGGGTGAGGCTGGGCAGGGAGCTTCGGCTGAGGCTCGGCATGGACGTGGGGTTCCCCATTCTCTCCTCTTTCCTGAAGTATGGGGTTGACGTGGCTTATTGCATGGCCCTAGCCGCAGGTGCCACCATACCGTCATTTGAGCGCATGCCCCTTACCAACGGAATAAGGCGTCGGGGTTGTTCTGTTCCTCTTTAGGAAGAAGGGTCTGGAGTGGTAAGACTGGGGATTCGGGGCTCTACGCTTTAAGTTAGCAATTTGGGAGAGTCCTTTCCTCTCTCTCTTCTCTCTAATTGGGTCTCGATTTCCCCATCAAGATTGAGGTAGGCTGGATCACATGGACTTGGAGAGACTTTTCCTCAGTCTAGGAATTATCGTATAAGTCTCTGATGCTGGAGGCCACTGATTAAGAAAAGGGCTGTTCCTTTTCGTAGATAGAATGGGGTTGGTTGCTCTTCTCTGTTCACTCACTCATCCACTTTCCTTGTAAGGTCCCATTAGTTGGAAGCCTCCCCGAATCCCAGCTGCGACGAGTGGTGGGACAACTGGACCCGCAGCGACTCTGGGGCACTTATCTGCGCCCCCTCCTGATTGTGCGAACCCCAGGCACTCCCGGCAATCTCCAAGTCAGAAAGGTAAAGGGCCCTGCCTCCAATCCCTGAGCCCACAGCCCGCTAGGGAATAGGATAGTCTCATGCCACTAACTAATCATCAGTCTCTACTGCCCCTCTTACTGCACCCACCAAAAGCTTGTGCTTTTAGTACTATGTGCTAAGTGCAAGCAACAGTCCGATGAGGTGAGTATCAATATGATCTTCATTATTTGGACAGTGAAAGTGAGAACTAAAGAGTATTTTCTTTACCCAAATCCTACAAATTATAAATGTAGATCAGGGTTGGAACCTAGGCAAGTTGGCTTCAGAGCTGGAGCTGTAACATTTCTATATTGTTTCCCTGAAAGAAATGAGTTATTGAAATACTGCCTGATTTTGAATCCTACTGCCTCCCCTTGGATTGTGACCTTGGACTATAATTTTTTGGTTTTTTTGTTTTTATTTTTGACACAGGGTCTTACTACGTTGGCCAGGCTAGAGTGCCGTGGCATCATCATAGATCACAGCAACCTCTAACTCATGGGCTCAAGGACTCCCCTCGGTTCAGCCTCTTGAGTAGCTAGAACTGCAGGCACATGACTGTAGTCTCACTTTTTAATTTTTTTGTGACAGAGTCTCCTTCTGTTGCCCTGAGTAGAGTGCCATGGTGTCATCATAACTCACAGCAACCTCAAACTCTTGGGCTTAGTGTCATCACCAGCTTACAGCAACCTCAAACTCCTGGGCTTGAGCAATCCTCTTGTCTTTGCCTCTTGAGTTGGGTCTCAAACTTTCGGTTCAAGCAATCCACCTGCTTCAGCCTCCTAGAGTACAAGGATTATAAGGGTGAGCAACTGTATCCAGCCTGTAGTCTCTATTTTCAGAAGAAATGCAATTTCACTTTTGCTTAGGCTGGTTTTCAAACTCCTGACCTCCAGCAATCCTCCTACCTTGGCCTCCCAATGGTATTACAGGTGTGACTCACACCTGGCCCAGGACTGGTTTCTTAATCTTTCTGGGCCTCAGTTTCCTCATCTGCAAAATGGGGTTATTCATTGATATAGTCTTTACCCTGTAGGGTTGCTAAAACAGAGCTTTGCACATAACAAGAACTATTTTAAGAGTAGCTATGAGGCTGGAGGCAGTGGCTCATACCTGTAATCCCAGCACCCTGGGAGGCTAAGGCAGTGGATTGCCTGAGCTCAGGAGTTTGAGACCAGCCTGAGCAAGAGTGAGACCTTGTCACTACTAAAATAGAAAAACTATCTGGGCATGGTGGTAGATGCCTATAGTCCCAGCTACTCAGAAGGCTGAGGAAAATTCCTGCTTGAGCCCAGGAATTTGAGGTTGCTGGGAGCTATGATGACACTGGAACTCTATCCAGGGTGACAGAGTGAGACTACCTCAAAAAAATAAAAAGAGTAGCTGTGATTAGTCTTGTTGGTATCAAGAGGCAGGGTCATCCCAACATCTGGCACTCACCAGATATGAGTCAAGGGAATGATCTAAACTAGAATGGGACTTGCAAGTCCACCTGACTATTCTGCATGGCTCAGGTCATATGGCCCTTCTCCCCACCTCTTCCCCAGTCCCTTTCTACCCTCCCACCTCTCTCTTGCCACTAGTTCCTGGAGGCCACGCTGCGGGCCCTGACAGCAGGCTGGCATGTGGAGCTGGATCCCTTCACAGCCTCGACACCCCTGGGCCCGTTGGACTTTGGCAACGTGGTGGCCACACTGGACCCAGGTGCTGCCCGTCACCTTACACTCGCCTGTCATTACGACTCGAAGCTCTTCCCACCCGGGTCGGCCCCCTTTGTGGGTGCCACAGATTCAGCTGTGCCCTGTGCTCTGCTACTGGAACTGGCCCAGGCCCTTGACCTGGAGCTGAGCAGGGCCAAGAAGCAGGTGAGCAGTGCGGGTGGGGGAGTGGGCGGTGGGCCACACCTACTTTTTCCAAGACATCACCCTCCCTTGCCTGCATTTGTCATCCTTCCCTTGAAGGATGCACAGAGCCATAGTAATCTTTCTACCTCCCGAATGTCAGAGCCTGCCTTTCTCCTGTCCCAAACCTTCCCATGGCTCCCATCTCACTCCAAGCATAAGTTAGGGTTATTATATTGGCTCATGGGGTATACCCTCTTACCTCTCTAGTCTCATCTCCCAACCCTCATCCTGGCTCACTCCACTCTAGCCCCACCTACCTGCTGTGTCCTCAAACCCACCAAGTTCACTCACCCCTCAGGGAATTTTCACTTGTTGGTCACTTTGTATAGAAATGTCTTTTTCTCAGATATCTTCCTAGCTGGTTCCTACCCTTCATTCAGGTGTCCACTACAATGCCATCTCTTTGATGAGGCCTTCCCAACCACCCTAAAACAGATCGTTGTCATTATCCCATGCTGTATGGTGCATTTGGTTGATTTATTTGCCTGTCTCTCCAACTAGAATAAGGTCCATGGAGGCAGGGATTTTGTTTCTTACTATATGTCCTGGGCCTAGAATTTTTTTTTTTGTAGAGACAGAGTCTTACTTTATCACCCTCAGTAGAGTGCCGTGCTGTCACAAAGCTCACAGCAACCTCCAGCTCCTGGGCTTAGGCGATTCGCTTGCCTCAGCCTCC